TTTGTGCTATCGTCAGGTTTTACTCGTTGCATTCAGGAAGTCACCGCCGCCCTCGATAGCGACATCAAGACGCACGCGCCCGTGCGCATTCTCTTCCACCCGCAGTTGGCTGAGCTCAAGGCCCTCACTTTCCTCCGCCCGCCGAAGTTGCCAGCGGAGTGCCCGATTGGCCCCGCGCCGTGCACGGAGAATCACGCCCACGTTTTGGACTGCGCCCGAGAAGGGCGAGAGCTTATCCAGAGGCGCGGGTCCAGAGCAAAAATCCAGAAGCACCTCGACATTCTTTACCGAGTTTGGGCTGATGCTGCTGAGTGGGAGTTATCCAGGGTCCTTCAGGCGGAGCTCATCATTTGGGGCTCCCGCGGACGTCGGCCTCGTTTGGCCTGGGTTTCGGCTCTGGATAAAGATTCGCGTCCCCCGACTCGGGATCCTGGACTTGTTGCTGGCAGGTGGTTGTCCAGGACTACGAGATTCATCTTGGGGGCTTTCGACTCTGGAGACTCTGGAGCGTTTAAGCGTTATAGGGCCCACTTTTTGGATCCCCCTCCTCATGTTCAACGTGCTTGGGAAGGGTTTCAAGAAGATTATCGTCTTGGGTGCGAACTCCTCCATGGTTTTCAGGATGTTTGTGAAGACGGGTTACGTTTTCGAGATTTTCACGCTCAACTCGAACCCAGATTAGCAGAGTATGCCAAGTCTTCCTCACAGCGTTCATTAAAAGAGTGGCGTAGTTGGCTTTTGGACGGTGTCGACAAAGGGGGAAAGAACGCCCACCGCTGGACTCGCGAGCTGAAGCCCTGGGTTGCCACGACCGCGCTGTCGGCCGACGGCCTGGTTCTCTCTGACCCCATGCCCCTCCCGAAGTCGGAAGGGGAGCGTTTCGGGGCTCTCTGGGAGTCGGCCTCGCACCCGCCCGAGGATCAGGAGCCCCTCGAGTTCTTGGAGCCTTTGGAAGTTCTCTCGGCGGACGACCTGATAGCTGTGAGTAAGACTTATGCTTTAGGCACGGCTTCCAGCGTCGATGGGTTTCACATGAGGCATTTCGCCCTTATGCACCCCGACTTGCTGGCTGCCGTCAGCACCATGTTTTCGATGATGGAGGCCACCAGTCTGTTGCCCCACCCTGCCCAGGTGCTGCTCACGTCATTGCTTCCGAAGCCAGCAGGAGGCTATCGCCCGATAGGGTTTTTTTCGGCACTCTACAGGCTGTGGGCTCGCGCACGGCGCCCCTACGCAGAGCGATGGGAAGCCGACCATCAGCGTCTTTATTTGGCATCTGGTTCGTTCAATTCTGCCTCGGATGTGGTATATCGTCAGGGAGTTAAGAGCGAACATATCGTCGGTCGGGGGATGAGCTGCTGTAAAGTCTTGTGGGATTTATATAAGTTCTACGAAACGATTCGGCTTCCTAAGCTCCTCGGCCGATGCCAGTTGCTCGATTTCCCGATGTAGATTGCCAGAGTATCCTATAGGGCTTATCGTGGGGCTCGGTTTATATCCTTAGGAGGTCTTCTTCATGGGCCTCACTTTGCCACGCATGGGGTGGTAGCTGGTTGTAGCATAGCGACTGCGTGCGCCAGGGTTTACATCATCCCTACCGTGGATCTCGTCAGGCTCCCCAAGCAGGTCTCCTTAAACATTTATATTGACGACTATGGGCTGTCGAGTTCGGGGACTTCGAAATCGGTCGTGTCGTCTTTGAAACGGGCCTCGGTGGACCTCCTGGTGGCCCTGGAGACCGATATGGAGGCTACCATTTCTACCGATAAGGCGGCAGTTGTTGCTTCTCACGCCGATGTAGGCCAGGAGATGAAGTTGTTTCTCGGAGCGCACGGCGGCCCCTCGGCGGACACCAGCTCTGCCATCAACCTTGGGGTCGACGACGGTGCTGGTAAGGCTCGGCGCACCAAAGGTCGGGGTAGGAAGGCTCAGGCTAGACAGGCTCAGTTTAGAGCACGCTGCCGACGGGTGCGGAAAGCCCGTCAAGCTCTAGGCCGACACACCCGCAGGATTTTTGTTTCAGGGCCGCTGGCATCAGTTACTTATGGTTCTGAGGTTTATGGAGTTTCCGATTATGAATTGGGAATGTTACGTTCTGGTTTTGGGAAGTCCGTCAAACCTTCGGCTGGGTCCAGGTCCCTTACTTCGTTGTGTATCCTGGAAGGGGGCCCAGTTTACCATGCTGCTATTTCTCCGATTGCCAGATATTCCAGGGAATTGTGGGACGCCCAGGTTCAGCATACTCCCTTTGCTCTAGGCTTCGCGGGGCTACGCGACGCCTGGACCCAGACGTGGGCCAACCCGCCAGCTGCGTGGCGGCAGGTGCGGGGCCCCATAGGTGCTATGTTTCTGTCCCTCAAGCGCATTGGCTGGAGCATGCCCAGCTACGCGCAGATGACGAACGACCTTGGCGTCACCTTCTCTCTCACGACCTCTTCCCCCAGGTTGATCAAGAACCTTCTGCGGGAAGCTGTCATTCGTCGACTGTGCAGGCTGTCAGGCGAGAAGCTCGGTGTTGGTGCCAGGCTATGTTACGATTCTGTGATTCGCGACCTCAGCAGCTCGAAATTCACGCCGTTCGAGCAAGGTTCGATCAGAGCCAATGTCTGCGGGGCCTGCTGGACCAAGGAGCGGGCTACCCAGTGTGGGTATCAACTCCAGGACACGTGCTGCGCTTTGTGCGGCGGGCCCTCGGACTCGATTTTCCACGGGCTTTGGGTTTGTCCTTGCCCTGAGGTCGCGGAGCTCAGACAGGAGTTTGTAGATCCCGATGTTTTGCAGGCGGCCAATGAGATCGATCCTGCTTCGTGTTCCATGGAGGATTGGATTTTGTTCACCAAGGGCCTCTTCCCACATCCTGGGGACCTTCACCCCCGTCCTGTTCCTGAATGTGCTCCAGAGTTTCGATGGGAGGTTGATCAAGAACATGAAGATGAGCAACTGTTTTCTGGTTCTTATGTTTTCATGGGTGGTTCTTGTCAGAAGCACGTAGTGAAAGAATTAAGCAGGGCAGGGTGGGGCATAGCGGTGTTCGATTCCCAGCAAGTTTTGAAGCTCAGAGCTTGGCCCCCTTTGTGGGATCGGTTTCCTCAGACCCCTCAGGCGGCCGAGTTCGGGGCACTTGCTTATTCTAGTCTTTGCCTCACCGACCCTGCTCCAGGGTACACAGACTGTCTGAATGTATGTAGGGCCTTCCAGTTCGACCGTTCTAAGAAGCTGTCGTACAAGAGGCCCTACTCGGGCCTCATGATTAATGTTCTGGGGGCCCGTTTTTCCGATTTGCTCAAGGTTAAGGCCCATGTGGCCGAGTCGGACGATCTTTCCCCCGAAGAGCGTTTCTTTAACATCGGGAATGATGAGGCTGATAGATCAGCCAAGCTTGGGGCCGCTGCTCACCCCAGGTGTTCTAATGAGCAGCAGACAAAGTTGGACTGGGAGCTCAAGGTGTCGCGCACAGTCTCGCGCCTTGCTGCCAAAGTTCTTGTTTCTTGGCCCCGTCTGGACCTCTCGGACGTTCCCTTCATTGCTCCTCCTCGTCCTCACCGCCTTGGGGCGGTGGTGCCCGAGGGAGAACATGTCTGGGCCTGGGTCAAGTCTTTTTGGAGGTGCAATCGTTGTCTCAGATTTCGCAGGCAAGCTGCGCGCCCCTCGATCGAGGGATGCGGAGGAGACCTGCCTTTTGTAGCCCGTTCGGTCATTGAACGGGGTCATTCGTGTCTGGCGCTCGAGTGCTCGAACGATCAGATCTTAAGTATCTGCACCCGCTGCAAAACGTTTTCGACCCTCGGACAGTTTAAGCAGCTCCGCCATGAGTGCACCCGCCCACTCGCAAAGGCAGCGGAGTATTGGTCCAGGGTCAAGCGCGGCTGGCACCCGAAGGAAAGAATTCGGGTGGAGTCCATCCCCATCAGGGAATAAGGCTGGTGGCTGGCAGGGCGCTCGTCAAAAAACTCCTCCCTCCTCCTCCTCCTCCTCCTCCTCCTCCTCTTCCTCCTCCTCCTCCTCCTCCTCCTCCGTCCTCCGTCCTCCGTCCTCCTCCTCCTCCTCCTCCTCCTCCTCCTCCTCCTCATCCTCCTCCGCCTTTTCTGTTCACGGCCCCAAGGCCCGCAGCTGGCCTCTGGGGGCAGACTGGCCGCTCCGCGGCCTCCCGGGCAGCTGCCGAGGTCGGGCTCTGTCGGGCTGCGGCCCCAGAGCTCCCGGCCCCTTGCCCAGGGGTCGTCGGTGAGCGTCGATCCGCAAGAGCCAGGAAGATGACATGGGAGGCCCCCGCGAGTTGCCACAGAAGGCCTGCGCCCCGAGACCAGTTCTGGCGGTCCTGGGGCCGACGGCGGTCCCCGGGCCGAAGGCGGCCCCTGGAGGCTGCAGCGAAAGAGGCTCGCGGTGGCTGGAAAGGAACATGCCGTCGGAGGCCTGGATCTTCGATGGGTGTCTGGGGAGGCCTCCTCTCCTCCTCCTCCTCCTCCTTCCTCCCTCCCTCCCTCCCTCCCTCCCTCCCTCCCTCCCTCCCTCCCTCCCTCCCTGTCGTCGGAGGCCTGGATCTTCGATGGGTGTCTGGGGAGGCCTCCGACTGCCCCCGAGAGGGCCGCCGCTTTCCTGGACCTCCCAGCTGGGGTCCGAGCAGATGGGGTCGGAGGACCGCGCCGCATCGCCGCTGCATCACCGATGCGGTTCGATGTGGAGCCCCATTTCCTCCGCGCTGGCGTCGCGGATGCACCGCCGACGTCGCCGGTGCATTGCCGAGGCGTCGGCGATGACTCGGCGATGCGTCGCGATCCTCCGCCCCCATCTAGTTTTGAGTCGGGCATGTCCCTCTGCAGGAGGAGTATTCAAGAATGGTGAGAAACAGTATGGTGACAGATTTTCGTGCTTCTTTGGACTATGATTGCTTCTCTGTTGGCATGTGTTATAAGTTTCTCCGCAAGTCCGCCTGTAGGAGGACATGCTCAGCCTGAATCTAGTTTTGCTCTCGCCTGGCGACGCGTCGCGGCCTGCCGCAACAGAGGTCTGGCACGATCACCATCGCGGAGTTCAAGGCGGTGCTGCAGGAGCGGCCGGCGCCCACGCCAGGGCGACCCGTGTGCTGTTGGCCAGCCCCGCGCGGGAGGCGGAGGAGGAGGGGGGAGGTGGAGGAGCATGATGCTGATTGTGATAGTGATGGTGATGATGAGGAGTATAGAGAGCAAGCGGAGGAGGAGGAAGGAGGAGGAGGGAAGGAGGAGGAAGGAGGGGGGGAGGAGGATGGAGGAGGGGAGGAGGAGGAGGAGGAGGAAGGAGGAGGAGGAGGAGGAGAGGAGGAGGAGAGGAGGAGGAGAGGAGGTGGAGGAGGAGAAAGATGAGGAGGAGGAGGAGGTGGACGAGGAGGTGGAGGAGGAGGAGGAGGAGGAAGAGGAGGAGGAGGAGGAGGAGGAGGAGGAGGAGGAGGAGAAGGAGGAGGAGGAGGAGGAGGGGGAGAGTCAAGCTAGGCGCGCTTGTGTCATATCTGACGTCTTACCCTTCCCTCCCATCCCTGACCATGGCGTAGATCTCCTCTCTATTCGCACAGTCGCATGTCGAGCAGGGCAATGATCCCGAGAGGGTGCGCGATGCATCGTAGAGCACGGCATAGCAGGGCGTAGAAGCGCACGGCAAAGCGTAGTATGTCATAGCATGGCGTGGCGTTGCGTAGTGAAGAATTGCATCACAAAGCATTGCAACGCAAATAATGGCATCGCACAGCGGCACAGCACAGAACGTGGCATAACATTGCGTTGAAGATCAAGGCGTAGCATGGCATGGCATGGCTTGGCACTGCGTAGTCAAGCACTGCATGTCCTAGAATTGCAGTTGAAGGCATGGCATCGCACAGCGGAACACCACATAGCATTACATTGCATGCCGTGGCATGGCACTGGAAATAATGACGCCAGCGCTCCAGCGGGAGCACGGTTCGGAACGAGCGGAAGCGCGAAAATGAGGCCAGCGTTGCAGCGGGAGCACGAGTCGGAACGAGCGGAAGCGCGGAAATGATGCCAGGGCTGCAGCCGGAGCACGATTCGGAATGAGCGGAAGCCCGAACATGAGGCCAGCGCTTCAGCGGGAGCTTTAGAAAACGGGCCAAGCGAAAACCCAATTCCCGGGAATAACTCCCGGGAATCCTGTATGTAAGAAAACAGTGCGCGGAGGAGGCCTGACATTTTCCGGACGTCATCAGGGGAGAGAGGAGAGTAGCATTTAGATGGTGTAATTGTGGATGACGTTGTTGTTGTTGATGATGCTGATGTTGTTGTTGGTGGTGGTGGTGTTGCTGTTGTAGTTTCTGCTGCTGTTGTGGCTGGTGTCGTTGGTATTCTTGTTGTTGCTGTTGTTGTTGCTGCTGCTGCTGCTTTTGTCGTCGTCGGGGTTGCTGCTCTATGGTGTGTTGCTGTTGTTGCTGCTGCTATTGCTGTTGCTGTTGCTGTTGCTGTTGTTGTTGCTGTTGCTGTTGCTGTTGCTGTTGCTGTTGCTGTTGTTGTTGTTGTTGTTGTTGTTGTTGTTGTTGAACTTCCGTTACTCACGAATAAGTATGGTTGATCCCCCTCGGGTGCACGTTGTATTTTTCAATTGAAGTGCCTCTGTTGGGCTCTCACCTAGTGTTTTATCAGGGAAAGTCCAGGGCTCAAACTGCGTTGTTGGCCCCCGGGCTGCAACAACAACGGCTCCCGCTTGATACGTCCTCACAATTTAACCAGGACCCCCGCTCCCGCCCGAGATTTCCTCGCATTGCATTCAGGAATCGCGCTCTCGCTTGGGACTTCCTTATACTTGATTCAGGAATCGCTATCTCGGCGTTCTGGAGTCGCGCTCTCGCTGGTGACTTGCTTGCAGTTTACTCAAGAATAGTGCCCTTGCGTTGGAATTTCCCGCAATTTGCTCAAGCGCCGCGCTCCCGACAGTCAGGCACCCAGGAATCGCGCTCATGCTTAGGACCCCCTCACAGATTGTTTAGGAATCGGGATCTCGCTGCCTTTCGTGGCCCCGTTGCAGCCATTCGTGGCCTCCTCGCTGCCCTTCGTGGCACCGTTGCAGCCCTTCGTGGCCCCCTCGCTGCCCTTCGTGGCCCCGTTGCAGCCCTTCGTGGCCCCCTCGCTGCCCTTCGTGGCCCCGTTGCAGCCCTTCGTGGCCCCCTCGCTGCCCTTCGTGGCCCCGCTGCCGCTCTTCGTGGCCCCCTCGCTTTGTTTCGTGGCCCCGTTGCAGCCATTCGTGGCCCCCTCGCTGCCCTTCATGTCCTCGTTGCACCCCTTCGTGGCCCCCTCGCTACCCTTCGTGGCCCCGTTGCAGCCCTTCGTGGCCCCCTCGCTGCCCGTCGTGGCCCCGTTGCAGCCCCTCGTGGCCCCCTCGCTGCCCTTCGTGGGTGGCCCCGTTGCAGCCCCTCGTGGCCCCCTAGCTGCCCGTCGTGGCCCCGTTGCAGCCCTTCGTGGCTCCCTCGCTGCCATTCGTGGCCCCGCTGTCGCCATTCGTGGCCCCCTCGCTGCCCTTCGTGGCCCCATATATGTATGCCTTTCGTGGCCCCCGCTCATTCGCGCCCGTCGTGGCCCCATCTGCATGGCCTTCGTGGCCCCGCTGTTGCCCTTCGTCTCCCCGTTGCAGCCCTTCGTGGCCCCGTTGCTGCCCTCAGTGGCCCCGTCCTTGCCCTTCGCGGCCCAATATACGTATGCCCTTCGTGACCCCCGCTCGTTCGCGCCCGTCGTGGCCCCATGTGCGTGCCCTTCGTGGCCCCGCTGTCGCCCTTTGTGGCCCCCTCGCTGTCCTACGTGGCCCAGTTGCTACCCTCAGCGGCCCCGTCGTTGCCTTCTGTGGCCCCGTATTGTCTGCCCTTCGTGGCCCCCGCTCGTTCGCGCTCTTCGTGGCCCCATACGCATTCCCTTCGTGTCCCCGCTGTCGCCCTTCGTGGCCTATTTCGGGCCCTTCGTGGCCCTGCTGTCGTTCTCTCTCTCGCTCTCGCTCTTGCTCGTCGTCGTCGTCGTCGCCGCCGTCGTCATCGTCGTCGACGTCGTCGTCGTCGTCGTGGTCGGTCCCCTGTCCGTCCCTCTTGGGGTCGGGTTGCCGCCGATCAGCGCTGCCGCTGGCCAGGCCGACGGTCCGCGGCCGCCCCGCCGCTTGCCGGGGCCTGGCCTGGTGAAGAAAGGTATACCCCCAAACAAGGGCACGATCGAAGACGAAGAGGGCGGGTATCGAGGGCTTGGGAACTGCGCGTCAACGGGCACTCGAGCAGACAAACACGAACAGTCTTAAAATGCTTGTTGTTGTTGGTGTTGTTGTTGCTGCTGCTGCTGTTGCTGTTGTTGGGTGAGGCGTATTTGAGAGCCCTGGGGTAACCCCGACAACCCCAGCAATCCCAGCAACTCCCTTTGGGGGCCTTGGGGTTACTGGGGCTGCTGGGGTTGCCGAGGATGCCTGAGGGGATGCCCTACGGGTTCCAGAGGATGCCCTAGGGGTTCCTGAAGATGCCCTGGGGATCCCTGAGGATTCGCAAAGGGTGCCCGAGGATTCCCTAAGAGTCTCCTGAGGATTCTCTGGGGGATTCCTACGGAGGCCTGGGGTTCTGGAGGGTTCCAAAGGGGTTCCTGCGAATCTTCTAAGGGTTTCTGAGGATTCTTTAAGGGTCTCTGAGGGTTCCCTAGGGATTCCTATGGATGCCAAAACGGTTTCCGGAAAATCCCTTAGTCGTAGTAATAGTAGTAGTAGTAGTAGTAGTAGTAGTAGTAGTAGTAGTAGTAGTAGTAGTAGTAGTAGTAGTAGTAGTAGTAGTAGTTTAGTAGTAGCAGCAGTAGCAGCAGCAGCAGTAGTAGTAGTAGTAGTAGTAGTAGTAGTAGTAGTAGTAGTAGTA